CCCAGAGGCAGAGTCGTGGTCGCAGCTTCTTCTTTTTTTTCCTCCCTCCTCTGCTCTGTGCTCACTTTGCATGCTGTTCCCAGAGCAGGGGGCAGCAGCGGTCAAAATACCTCAGAAACTCGAACAAATAAGCTTTAACAAGGCTTTAATAAGCTAAACAATAGAGGTACATGAGAAAATGTGTTCATAACGAATGAAAATAAATAAATAATTAAATAGTGTCCATGCCAGTCTCAAACCCAGGTCTCCCACTCTCTGGTCCAACACTCAACCCATTGCCCTATTGGAGGCTTGTTGTGAAAATGAGCTGCGCATTGCACAACAACAACCGTGACYGRTTTTTATATTGAGGAGGTGGAGCTTCACCCGGGGGTTGTTAGGTAAGGGGCTGAACGCAGGTTCCAGTGGGTTGTCGTACGGCTTGTAACATCACAAAATAATGGAAGTATAAAACGTGTCGTTAATATACATTAGAAATACATTTACTTACAGTAAATATGCCCCTGGGTGCATTTTTTTGGTCCTAGGACTGTTTTTTTAAGAAGTACATACCCAAAGTTGAGTAAAAAAAGCTTTAAAGAGTGAATTTTGCATAATAGGTCCCCTTTAAAAAGTGATTTAAGCTTTCAGGAGATCTAACAAGGGAAAGTCTGGAAACATATTTTCCAATGTTGTTTTCTTTTTTCCATAGTTGGCAAAAACTGAAGTAGATTCCATACTTTGAGACCACACAGAAACTCTGTTCCTATGACTTATATAATCACTTTACAGCCATGTGTGTTATTGCATTCATACACTAATTATCCACTGATTATAAGGTATTATCAAGCAGCAATTATTTTCTCATTGAAAGAAGTGATTTGAACAACAGTCATAAATCTCAAGTTGTTTTTTAGCTTTATCAACCTAGACTGCCCAACTTTACACATCATTTTGTTCTAGCTTGAGCTGCTTCCTTCCTGTCTTCAGCCTCTGTGTCAGATGTGAGAGTAATAAAAGCAGTAAAGTGATTTGGCTGATTTAGCCAACATGATTAATAACCATCCTGTCATTCAAAACACTTTAAGTCATTTTTACCAGCCTTTAAAATGAACAGGTTGCACTCTGGCAATAGACTGAACGAGTTATCCCATCAGCACAGTGATGAATTTGCCAGTAACAATTTGAAATACGCTACTCTGCCTTCAGCCCGCTTTTTAAACAGCAGATGTCACTACAGAAGAAAATAACAGCGTCACAGCAGGAAGGCAGCAGAAGAGTTTAGAGGAAGAACACTCTTCATACACAAACAGTTTCTACTTATTAACGCCCAGTCATGATCACCTGTGCAGCAGAGTTTTTATTGTATTAACCTTCATTTAACCAGGCAAAGCCCACTGAGGTCACAGATCTCTCTATTTTAATCCTTGCTCTTTCTGAATTTCAGTGTATCACATAACTGTATTACTTCCCATACCCAGTGTGGATTGTATTTTTGTGTGTGTACCTTTGTTTGGTTTTGAGCTTGCAGTGGCAGAGAAGGCTGTTCTGAAGTACCCATAGGCAGTTCAAACCGGGGGCTGTGGAAGAGCATCTTACTGTTAAACCCATAAGACTCAAAAACACAATTTGTTTTACACTGCTCCAAACGAACAATTACAAAAAAAAATTAAAGCAAGAAGAAAAAAACTATTTCATGTAGAAATTAAATATAACATTACTTACTGCATAAATTTACAGGATCTTCCTTCTGGACAGAAACCCACCAGGTAGTTCACACAGATGACTCTTCTTGTGTGTCTGTGTCTYCAGTCAGGACCTGAAACAAGCACATACATTTTATACAAATGATAGTCAAAAGTAAAGAAGCTGTTTATTTAATTCAACAAAAAACAACAACAAAAAAAAGGCATGAAAAAGAAAAACGTTCTCTGCGCACTTTTGAGCAGCACCTTACCGTGTTTACAGAAGCCTCGGTCGTACCACGGACAGTCTTTGATCTTAGAATCTGGATCGATGTGCAGGAAGGGACATTCCTTGTTGCTACACTCACCTGAGGGTCGACACAAATGAAAGATCTGCTGAGTCATGCAAACAATGGTTTAATGATTTTCATGCAAACACTGGGAACTCGGTGTCAACCAACCAAATTTGGAGTAGAAGTAGCACTCGGGCATCTTGGTCATGTCGTATTCGTGGAGAAACTCGCACTGATCTCCCTTCTTGCACAGTCCTCTGAGCCAGTGTTTACACACCACCGTCTTCTCTCCACTGATGTGACGGAACGGACACATCCCACCTGCGACATACACAATACTCCTCTTATTCATCCCCTCTGTGCTGTCACACCGACAAGAGCTCGGCTGCGTCAGGACGGTTACAGGCTGAGCAGCACTGGCTTGTGACGCCAACGAAACACCAGATTGATCAGCACAAATCAGGAAATGAGAACTATACTAAACTGATTTATTAAATTTTTAAAATAAAAACAAAAAGTGTTTTGCTGGTCAATGTTTGCTGGAAAACACTGAGTCACTTTGACACTTGCCATCAACAGAATAAAAACAGATTATGATCAACAAAGTGCACTTCCTTACAGAAATGGCATTCTCTGATGACAGTGAGCTGCGAAACACTTTGGAGTCCCTAGACTTGATAAAACACTATTCAGGCCATTTATCGAAAGTCACTYTGCTATTTAGATGCCTCTAATATAATGTAGTTATATCTCCTAAGTTTGAACTCTGGGGCTGAGAAAAGGAGAAAACCTTTTGTTTTCTAATAAAACCCTTGGCTTCAACAGAGAGCAGGGATGTTGACATGTAGTCAGCAGCTGCTGCCACTTTCTTCCTAAACCTCTGTAACTGGTGCCACGCTGTACTGAGTGTTAACTTATTTTCTCCTGTTTCGTTATTTCTACAAATTTCAACAAACCGTGCCAACGTCAGGTAAGCTAAAGCTACAGACTTGTTTGAGTTTTTCATTTCTGTCAATGCGTTTTAAAAAGACGCTTCACACAAGGATTCAAATTTTTCCAAAACATTATTTTACCTGCCTTAAAAATTTGATTGTGATTTCAAACATTGATGTGTGCTTTTTTTTTTCTGCATGTTAGCAAAGTGCTTTGACACTCGTCTTTGTCTCTTGACACATTTCATACGCTGTCATTGGTTGAGGGGCTTTGCTTACAAAACAAATGTCCACATGGTTTTTAAGTGGTGTTCATTCCAGGCTTTTCAAGGCACATTGAGATGATTTAATACTGCGGTTTGGTGAGACTGATTACTCCTAAACAAACACCAAGAACTTCCATCAGGCTTGAGTTTTATGTTATTTTTGTAGTTTTTAATGATCTGTTTGAATCCACTGTCAAATTTGATATTGGTGTGGGATAAAAATTAGATCKTCATCTCTACAGAGAGGATGGGCATTATTCTAAAGACCAGTGACCGTATTGTTTGAACCGATTAGGGCAAAGCATCACTAACATTTACACAAACTTGCTAAGAAAATAACTGTAGGCATTGATATTTATATCCATCAGTGTTTACAAAAGGTTAGTGCTAATAATACAGGCAAATCTTACACTTTAGTAAATAAAACACAAGTCAACAACAATCTTAGGCTAATCTTTCAATAACAGCCATGATAATTTCGATGTAATAAACTGATAGCAATATAACACCAACTACCATCTTTTTTTTTCTTTTTCTTTTTTTTTTACCTTTCATACAAGTTCCCCTGGTGAAGTACTCGCACACAGCTGACCCGGACTCTGCAGGGAGGCACATCGTCACAGCATTAATGTAGACAAAACATGGCCGCTAGCTCTCAGAGACGGAGGGGCTAATGGCTCCTAGCATCACTTACTGTCCATGCCGGGGAAAGGCAGGGGCTGAGCTCCCAGCTGCTGCTCCACAGCTATCTCCACGTCAAACTTGATGTAGTCTACGTTGGCCAGTATGTCCTGCATGTCTGCTTTATTTAGTTAACTGTCCTCGAACCACAAACAAGCTCCACGTCGGTTTACGGGTTTGCTAGCTTGAATTTGAACCTCTAGTTGGAAACTACCTCATTTGACAACGAGACTAGCCGGGCTAAGCGACGAGAAAAAAAATACAACAAAAATCGCTGAAGTTACTGATCTGTTGAGCTCTGGTGTTTTAAAGATAATTTCTTAACACGACCTAGACCTGTAAGTTCAGTTGATAGGTCTGCTTCTTGTCCCGTGTAATGTGAACGCGCGCGCACTGATCGCAGAGCGAACGGATTCAGACAAAACTAAAGGATCACCGACAAATCGATCACCACTGCGATTAGGTTTCTACTAGGGCTGTCAAATGATTATTTTAATCTGATTAATCCCAAAGTAGCTGTGAATTAATCGTGATTAATCTTAAATTTAATATACATTTCTATTGCATATTGGTAAAATAAATTACTTGGGTTATTAATTCGTTTTAATGTTTTTATTTAGAAGACAAAATTGATGCTTAGACATGATTTTTTGAATATAAAACAGGACCTAAAATGCTCCAAACATGTTTGAGTCAATTAAATTTTGTACAGAATAATGAGGTTAAATCAAGAATTCAAGGATTTTCATTCCAAATGAGTTCTACATGAGGAATGAAAGATAGATAAGGTCACAGTTGTCAGCAAAACTTAAATAAAATAAAATAAAATAAACCATAAGTAGACAAAAGGAAAAAAACTGTACATAATATGTTATACATGGAGTTTATTTATTTATTTTATTTAACCTTTATTTATCCAGGTAAGCTGTTTGAGAACCACTTCTCATTTACAAACATGACCTGGCATGCACTGAGTGCATTGCAGTATACAAAGCTACATGTTCAGCCACAGTAAAGTGGTTGTAAATTTTAATCGTGATTAATCGCAATTAAAATTTTTAATCTATGCCCATGCAGCACTAAAATGAATCAGAGTTAACTCGGTTAATTTCACAGCCCTTTACCTGTGTCCAAGGGCATAACTTTAATTAACTTAACATTAATGCTCTCTGCCTATTGATTTATTTGTTTATTGATTCATTTACTTTTGTAAAATGATTCAGGATATTTGGGCAGTAAAATACATTGTAATGTTTTTACTGTGATTTAGCTTTCCTGTTTTCTTTGTGTAAAAAAGCTTATTTTTTCCTCCCATTTTTCCCAACAGTAACAAACAGTAGTGGGCAGCACTAATCTAAATATCAGTTGCACTAACCCTAAAGTACTAACTCAAATATTTAGGTCCCCTAATTCAAAAGAACTAACGCACTGAAGAACAGTGTTGTATAAAGTACCACGAAGTGATACTTGAGTAAAAGTACAAGTATCTTATCAAAAAATTACTTTGGTAAAAGTTAAAGTCTGCTTTAGTAATATTACTTGAGTAAAAGCCTGATATTTTTTGTACTTAAGTATTAAAAGTAAAAGTATTGATTTAAAATGAACAGTTAGATTTTCTGTAAGTACATTTATTAGGAGGTGACCTCCTCAACAAATGCAGAAATGACTATATTGTATTAAAAAAAAAGGTCAAAAAAAGGAAAAAGTGCACCAGATGACGTCATAAAGCTCCCTTCCATACCTAAGATTGTACCTGGTTGTCTGTCAAAATAACAGTTAGCAGGGCTCTAGAGTGCAACCATTTTGGTCGCAAAGGCGACCAATGAAAAAGAATCCAGCGGCACTGGTGTGAATGGATCGTTCGGTGCGCCACAGCTGGACCCTGATATAAGGATTAAACGGACACTGCCTTCAACAAATCAGACGACGTCCAGAGCCGTTTTATCCAATCAGAGCAGAGCAGGGCGGGACTTTCAGTGAGAGTAATTTTAGTTGAAGCAGCGGACTTGCTCGACTCCAGCTGCTGCAGCTACGCGATCAGGCCTGGCTTCTCCTCTCCTCCTGCACTTTGCTCCTGAACTACCAGAGACTTTGGTCTGTAAAACCTAACTTTATATTAAATATATGTTCAGAATGTTGTTATCAAACAGATCTGTCCAACTCTGTGTGAGTGACTAAACTCTCCTCCTGAGAGACTGCTGTATGAGAGAGTCTTTGTGAGATTCACTGAGTTTTTCTAATTAAACCACATTAACTAACAGAACATTTGTTTGCCCCATATTAAAACAAAGATGATTCTCTGTTTAATACCCCAGTCAAAAACATTATATATATTAAAAAAATAAAAAAAAACTTGCCATGTTCTCTAGGTGAAAGAGTTTTAAATGTTATTTTAATTTATCATAAAGATCCACAAATTTCATTCACAATTTTATATAAAAAACAAGGTTCTTGATTAGCTAAACTTGTTTATATTTAGGACCATACTGTGATACAGCTTTTCTGAGATAAATGTAATTTATTAAATAATCAAATATGAAGAATAAATAAAAACATGAGCTGAAACCATCTAAAGAATATAATATTTTTTAATAAAATAGAGTTTTAAAAAATAAATCAGTCTAACACATAAAACATTTGTATGTTTTAAGTTATTTTGCTCTGTGCAAAAGACAGATATTTGCTACTTGGTCTGAAGTGTGGAAAGCTGTTTTAACCAAGGCAGAAGACCAAACAGGAGTTGTCCATCTGAGGGACATGTGTAGTCTAAAAGACATTTAACCATGAAATGTTTAGTTTGTGATGTTTATACGACATACACCCAGCCCCTTGGACACTTAGGTAGTTTACAAAATTTATGCAGAGTAAAAGAATAAATAAAAAAACTTGTTGGACTGATTTGGCATCATGTCCTGAGACGTTGCAGCTGATGGGAGTCATAAAACAGAACGGGGGGACGTTAGATGACCTGACGCCCCTCCAGATAAATGTGTTAAATGAGTGAAGGAAAATATGAGTGAGCACCAAGCAACAACCCTAGTTTCTCCCCTGAGAACCAGACCAAAAATTTATGTGCAACCCTGGCTATAGACCACTAATGGTTAATTTTAAGGAAAATGTCAGGCAAAAATACAGTTACAAAAATGAATGGAAGTCAATACAATGCCCTCAGTTTGATGCAAGTACAGGGATGTGTGTGTGTGTGTGTGTGTATGTGTGTGTGTGTGTGTGTGTGTGTGTGTGTGTTGTCATCGAACAGAGCACAATGAAATTACAGTATGTATTACATTAATATACAGTATATGTACGCACACTGTATGTGTGCACGTATGTACTCAAAGCACAATACAAAATTATGAATAAATTCTTATTATTGTTATTGCTGTGTGTACATAAATATCATGATTGTGTGAAAGAGACATAACGCCAAAAGAACAATCAAACATATTTCTTTAGGCCATACGTCTGTCTTCAGAGCATAAAACCAATTATTTCAAAATGGAAGTTCTTATTTTTAATGTGTGAACCATCAGTGTGAATGTGTGAGTGAATGGGTGAATGTCTAAGTGTAAAGCACTTTGGGATCCGGAGGGACTTGATAAAGCACTGTATAAGTTCAGTCTATTTACCAAAAGACAAAATACATCACCTAGAATACTTAAGTACTATGTGAAGAAAAACTGTTATAAGGGCAGTATTATGCAAATTTGCCTTTTTTTTAGCTTTCATGTTATAGTCATTCCCTCATCAAAAACATCTCCAGTGTTGCTTTGACTCGTTAATGCATGTTTGAGAAATCCTTGAATCTCCTGTAGTCATGTGGAGCTACCTAAACACTTCCTGGTACAAAGCACCACCTCTTTGTACAAAGCTCCTCCCTGAAGCTCAGTCTGCAGCCGAGCTCCCACCCCTCAGAGCACCCCTCCCCTGAAGCATTGTTGTGAAGACGTGTTGAAGTGGGAGTGTCAGAAATGGTAGGAGGTTCTTAAAGAGACAGAGGAAATTTTCAAAAATATTTAGATGGAACAATGATATGAAGTCAAATTTATTATTGAAACACAGTGAGTACGGGAGATATTCAGACCCCTTTATTTTTTACTGTTTATTTCATTGTCATTTGCTAAAATCAAAAAATTCCATTTTATTTATCATTAATGTACTCAGCACCCAATCTTGACAGAAAAAAACCCAGAAATTTATAAACGTTTGTAAATTTATTTAAGAAAAACTGAAATATCATATGGTCCTAAGTATTCAGACACTTTGCTGTACCGAGTAGAAGCACCCTTTGAGCTAGTACCGCCACGAGTCTTCTTAGGAATGATGCAACAAGTTTTCCCACACCTGGATTTGGGGATCCTCTGCCATTCTTCCTTGCAGATCCTCCAGTTCTGTCAGGTTGGATAGTAGATAGCCATTTTCGGGTCTCTCCAGAGATGATCAGTTAGATTTTGGTCAAGGCTCTGGCTGGGCCAGTCAAGAATGATCACAGAATTGTTCCGAAGCCACTCCTTTGTTATTTTAGCTGTGTGCTTAGGGTCATTGTCTTGTTGGAGGGTGAACCTTCGGCCCAGTCTGATGATCCAGAGCTCTCTGGAAGAGGTTTTCTTCCAGGATATCTGTGTACTTGGCTGCATTCATCTTTCCTTTAATTGCAACCAGTCAACCTGTCCCTGCAGCTGAAAAACACCCACAGCATGATGCTGCCACTACCATGTTTCACTGATGGGATTGTTTTGGGCTGGTGATGAGCAGTGCCTGATTTTCCTCCACACATACTGCTTAGAATTAACGCCAAAAAGTTCAATCTTTGTCTCATGAGACCAGAGAATCTTGTTTCTCATAGTCTGGGAGTCCTTCATGTGTTTTTTGGCTAACTCTATGAGGGCTTTCATGTCTTGCATTGAGGAGAGGCTTCCGTCGGGCCACTCTGCCACAAAGGCCCAGACTTCGGGCTGCAGCGATAGTTGACTTTGTGGAGCTCTCTCCCATCTGGAGCTCAGCCACAGTGATCTTTGAGTTCTTCTTTATCTCTCTCACCATGGCTCTTCTCCCACGATTGCTAAGTTTGGCTGGACCACAAGGTCTAGGAAGAGTTCTGGTTATCCCAAACTTCTTCCATTTAAGGATTATGGAGGCCACTGTGCTCTTAGGAACCTTGAGCGCTGCAGAAATAGCCAGATCTGTGCCTTGCCCTTGCCACAATTCTGTCTCTGAGCTCCTGGGGCAGTTCCTTTGACCTCATGATTCTCATTGCTCTGACATGCACTGTGAGGTCTTATATAGACAGGTGTGTGCCTTTCCTAACCAAGTTCTATCAATTTAAATACAGCTGGACTCCAATGAAGGAACACAACCATCTCGAGGAGGATCAGAAGGAAATGGACACCATGTGAGTTAAATATGAGTGTCATAACAAAGGGTCTGAATACTTATGACTGTGTGATTTTTCAGTTTTTCATTTTTTTTCCGTCAAGATGGAGTGCTGATTGTACGTTAATGATAAATAAAATGAACGTTTTTGATTTTAGCTAATGGTTGCAATGAAACAAAGAGTGAAAATTTTAAAGGGGTCTGAATACTTTCCGTACCCACTGTATACAGCATTTTCCTAAAAACTGGAGGTAATATTATTTGATTGTGGTATAGAATTGAATGTGCCTGGAAAATACATAATACCCCCTTTAATATACAAACAACTTATTTCAGTGATTAAAATGAGAACTTGGGAACAGGAGTTGAGTATAAATTTTTTCAGATAAACAGTGGGAGAAAAAAAACGTTTGTTACAGTACGCCTTATTAAATGTTGCAACTTATTCAGTTCAAGTTAATAGATAGGGTTCACTATTGAGTCTCGTCCATCTGAGATTTATCCACAAGTGGTGGGTCTGTCTAATCTGTAATATGTTCTTTTTGTGCCAGACTCCATAGCTTTTAGAGCCAGTACTCAGCCAGTCTTTTTCACTCTGCATATCTCTGTTGACAGCTGGTGAAGGCCTCGATCTGTATGCCACAGGCTGTTCATCCTGCAATACTTCTGAGCTGAGTGTCACTGAAATGGCTTATGCATAGAATAAATTTAAAATACATTTCAGTTGTAAATTGTTCTTATCTGGGCCTCCTTTGCTTATCTGCTGGGTAAAGTTGCAATTTTTGTATAAGAATTGGTGCCTGAATCTGCAGATGGCGGGAATGAGCAAGTTAAGAAAACTGATGAAGTTTACAGAGCAGAACTTCAGYTTAGCTTCAAAACGATTCTAGGAAGTAGTTAAATGGTAACAGCTGGAGTGATTTTCCACAACAAATCTGGAGTAACAAGTTATGTAAAGTATCTTATTGACTAATACAAAAATTGTTTATAAATGTAAAAGAAATCCTGTTAGATAGCAATTGTAAAGTAAATTGTTTAAACAAGTATATCTGTATGTTTTCAACCAGAATAAATAAATATAATCCAACAGTATTAATTTTTTTGTTACATCAAATGAATGTAACAAAACTGGTTTATTTATTGCTTTACAAGTTGGAAACTTGGAATTGTGAATTGAATTTAAGAGAAATGAATGAATGCAACATTAAAGCCAATATTTTGATTGTAACATTTAAGAAAGAAGCTCCAGAGGGGAAAGCTGTTTAAAACAGCAACATTTTGTAACATTACCAAATAAAACTTCATCAATCTGAAATTATATTTCTCTCCATTTGAAAAAAAATAAAATAAAATCTGTATCAAGTTAAAATGTGTCAGTGACAGAATGATTTAAAAGGCAGCAGAAGTGTCCATCAGAAGTGACAGATTTGACCCTCAAAGCTCACAGCAGCAGTAGTGTTTGTTCTGTAGAGTCCTCTCCTCCAGCTGTTTACAGTCTGAACTCTCTACAGCTCAGGCAGACCAGGCATGGGGAACTGCCCAGCAAAGGCCTCAACCTCAGCCCTGATCTCAGCCACCCGCTGCTGGAACTTCTCCCCCTGAGCCAAGGCCTGGAGGAACTCCTTCAGAGGGGCCTTAGGATCCAGGCTTCTCTGCACCTCCAGAGTCAGCTCAATACCTGCAGGAGAAGAGAGAACATGGAGTTCAGATTTGCTTATAAAGAATTCATATTAACTGATATTTTAAAGTCATTTGGTCTGACACACATATGGGTRTACAAATAAAAATACASSTTTTTTWAAAGTTACCTCTGTGAATGAAGTGAGCAACTTTCTTGAAGTCTTCCTGCACCAGGCTTCTGGAGGTCAGAGCTGGAGAACCAAACCTCAGACCACTGGGTCGCAGAGCGCTCTTATCTCCTGTATTAAAAAAAAGTTTTAATAAATTAACAATGGCTCTATAAGACAAGAAAAATCCTTCACTGTCAAATAATGAGAACCACCACCTGATTAACTGGAGAGAATTACAGTAAGTGTGTCCAGACTTCTCTGTATTCTATAATATTTTATAGTTAAACTGTCACATGTCACCTGGACAGGTGTTCTTGTTGCAAGCAATGGCACAGGCCTCCAGGACCTTCTCAGCTCGACCGCCGTCAGTTCCTTTATTACGCAGATCCAGCAGGATCAGATGGTTGTCAGAACCGCCTGCAGGAGAGATAAAGGCTACGTCATGCTGAGAATAGCCCGGGACTAATGGCTGTGTGGTGTGAGTAGAGTTTTGGTGAGCTCCTGCAGGATTGGCTCTTTTCCCCCCCAAACATTATTGGGCACTTTTTCTCTGTTTTGACTTAAAGAGATGTTCAAGTCCTCTTAACATACTTTGTTTTGGCCATTAAAATGCTGACTACAGGAGAGAACTCAGTCCAGCCTCACCTGCGGTCTGCTTCTGACGAGCTCCAGACCTCGACCTGTGCTGGTCTCCCCCCACCTCTCCTGTGTCTGCAACTGCAGCCCAGGCCGCCATAATTAGCAATGTGGGCGTTCTCAAAAGGGAGCTGCTTTCAGCTCTCTGTGAGGACCATGTGGCCACACTGCAGTCCTTGGTGAAAGTCTTTCCTCCATTAAATCAGAACTGCTCTCCTTCAAAGTAGAATTATAGCTTTTAGCTCATCTGTAATGAAGGAAAGTTTCACTGGGCTAAAGCTAACTGTTGCTGATGTTAAACAACCCCTGTCTACTTGTACTGATGACACTGTCAGCCTCGCAGAGAAGCCTCTGTTGGATCCTGCTGATCATACCCTGGCTTCCAAACCTAATGGTGCGTTCACACCGAACGCGATTTCAGCTTCAAAATCGCAGCCAACGCTGAAG